GTTATTTTTTGTTTAATAATTTTCTTAAGTGTGTCGATTCTAAATGTTTCACTAGGATTCCGATAGCAAGGTGTGTAGCAGATTTACCGATGCCATGGGAGATAACTCTTGCACTGCAAAATTTCATTAAAACGTCTATATATTTTGCCAGAAAAATAATTCAAAAGTGTTTTTCCCACCGATTTAATTTTTTAAATAGAAAGATGAAATATTTCTAGATTTAGTTCAGCGTGAATTAAAGTCCTGTTAAAAATGTATTGGAAGTTACAGTTCTTTGTTTCTGACCTAAATTCAATGGCTTATAGGGGAACTCAATTACACGAAAAAAAGCATATTTTACTTAACAAGTAATTTTTTAAAGAAATCTTCGATTACGTTATTCCATTTGGACCATTTGGACCACGTTGATATTGTTTTCAATAAAATATCAAATATTCGTCACATTCGATGTGCCGCCTATCAATACAATACTGCCTGGTTTTTCGGTGGACTGCCTCTTAAAGCTACGTTTCCTAATTACCTGAAACTCAAAACACTAACGAAGTTGGAATATTACATCTAAAATTCAGAACAAAGATTTTATTTTCTAGAGTACATGTACATAAATCGATAAAGCAGGTATATAAATCAAGACACTTTTTGTGATAGCGCTCTCGAGCACTAGCAAGTACGTTAGTGTATGTTTCTGGAATACGCATGCTCGGCTTCAGCAAATAAACCAGTTAAAGACGAACCTTCTTTTCTGTGTTTGAAAACGCTACGGCGCTTGCTCATCTATCTTTTTTAAAAGATAAACTTGATTTAATTAAAAATGTTGTATAATTTTACTAGAATTTCTTCCTCATACAAAAATGTTGTCATCGTATGATAGAGCTCATCGTTTTGCTATTCCATGGTACATTTATTGCTTGGCGAAAATTTGGATGTTGTTCAATAACGTTTGATAAACTTTTTTTAGGAAACTGTTACATCGGGGTGTCATTTTCAAGTAATTATAATTAGGAACATACGAAACTTTGTCCACACAGTCTGGTGTTTTATTAAAATGAAGTGTTCAAGATATACTTATTGTGTACCAACTTGTTATTTATGGAAATCCAAGTCAGAATATATTAGTTTCTATCGCTTGAACTGTACATTTAGGCAAGAAGGATATAGAGATAACAAACAGAAATCTCGGTATTAAAGGTTAATGCTTTAACTGCTTTTAAAATTGCACATGTAGATTTTTTTTCTTTACCTAATTGATAACCTAGTGAGCTACTCGTATCAAAAAGACAACTTCATAACGTTTAATCTCTTGAATCCAGCCTTAGATACCAATGCTTATTAGCATGATATGAAATAGAAGTGATTTGTGGTGTTTTGCAATGATAGGAAAAACCTTTTACACTATGTATTATAGAATACATAACGGAAATAGAAGACATAAAATGCAAAATAAGTATGAAAATCATGACATTTTCTCTGAATGTCTGGATACCTATCGTTTTTTAACCTAAAATATATTTGTTGATCAATTTGCAATTAGAAAATGTATTGCTGATATTCCAATTTGATTTTTCTGCAAAATTATTGGAGATTTGACAATTTTCCCTATATAATATGATTAACTTTAATCTTTAACTTTAAAGAAATACTGTGGATAAATTTACATAAGTTTGAGGATTCAGAGATACTTTTATGATGTATAAGATTTCAAATTTTTATTTATTTTAATCGTATGTTTGATTACTTAACTGCTAAATTTATAAACCTGAGGATCGGACTACCTTAAGTACGTTGAACAAACATTGTACCATTGATATGTTTCACCTATTAATGAACCACTGTTCAAGAAATGTACACAGACGACTGCCTAATCACCCTGAATGACTAAAATCGTAAGAAACAAATAAGATAATTTTTTGTGGATCTAAATATTAATTGTTGCTTTAATTAGAATGGAACAATTGCCTGTACTTCTTACAATTGAATTTTATAAATATTCAATAATATTCTACAAAAGGTTAACATGAACTTTCAATGCAAATGGATATCACTATAATGTAAAATTTCAGAAAAAATCAACAGCGCTCAACTTGCTCATAGCACTTTTCAACTTAATGTAATGCAACATGTGTAGCAAAATATCACAAGTTATAGTTAAGCGGATTCTTTAAACTTTTAATTTTGAAAACTTGTGTATGTGTTTGTAGCATTTGTGTCACAAAAGTTAACAAGGAAATTTCATAATCAAGGTCTATTCATTCCCCAATTTTGCTAAGACATGTGAAATACGAATTTTAATTATCAAAAATTTGTCTCAATTTTATTATAATACTCTGATTTCAATACAATAAATTTTTCATTAACAAGTTGTAAAATACTTCAAGTACCTAAACCCGTGTAAATGAGAGAAAGAGAGAGAGACGATATTTGTCAGTACAGCAAGATCAAGTTAGCTTTAACAATCCATTCAAATAGTAGTGAAATGACAAGGTAAGTTATTAGCAGAATTTTTATATTCATATGAAGCAAATTCATTGTGTGTTACACAGTGTATGAAAAAACACATTGCTTATTCATTCAACTTGATATGCATTTGATTATCGACACCGTATTATCAGTGAACAATAGTTATTTCCATTCAGATGTCGACATTATATTTCCCCTTGATTATAATTATATCACAGAGTCTTTTTTGTTTAGTGAAGGCTTTGAGATTTTTCTAGGAGACCTGTTTTTCGATCATGAAAAAGCAAACTGAGGGTGTGGTACATCAAATGAATCAATAGTTCACTTTCCATAGCATTTGATCATAAGTTTTGTGTTTGATACAATGACCCCGTAATATGTATATGTTTATATGGACTATAACCTTCGTTATCTCACATTTATATTCAATTTGTCATTAGATATGTCAAGCCCATCTTTAAATGTCCACTGTGTTTTTTTATTTGCTCGATATCACATATATACACGGTAGGAGTGACAAAGTTTTTTTAAAATAAGTTCTCAAATTTATTTTCATGTAAAATTTAAAAGGTATCTGTCGTCAATACCTTTTGTTAATCTATCAATAAATAATTAATAAGAGTTGTCCTTCCAGGTTAATGTAAACTGTACAATCTTACATCATGTATTAAAACAATTTTGTTTTATTTTTATGTTGTTTTACACATTTTGAGAATAAATAAATTGAATTAAAAAAATAATGTTTTGTTATGTTGAACATCTAAACGTTAATTTTGGATTTTCTTTTTTTTGCGTAAGTTTATAACGGGCTTAAAAATTCTAATTAATTTGTTATAATTGTATTTTGCAACATATCCTCTCTTAATGAAAAGTAAATAAACCAATGTTGATATTTAAGCAATGAATCATTATTTTTTAGTGAAATAAATGTCTGAATAAATAAACAATTTTTAAATATGTGTGCAAACAAATTAAATAACGCGCGTTATGCATTGCTTATATTTCCATTTTTTAAACTTTCCACCTTAAATGCAAATGTGATTTCTATTTAAAAACCTATGTATTATCCTTCGTGTAAGCTACATTTAATGGATGAGCAAACGTAACAGCTTCTGGTCCAACTGAATGTGATTTTTTGATTTTTGCTTGTGAATTGCATTTCCTAAGCGTTCAACGATTATGACGACAAAATAAAACGCATGTTTTAACCTAATGGTGGCCCTGTCTGTTATGGTGTTTTGAATGCAATACAATTTCCATTCATTTTATATGCAAAAAATATATGTAAAATGTAAATATACTGTGTTACATTAACATTTAGAGGCTAGTTTATCAAAGTTGAAATAAATCAATAAATTCTAAATAATGTCTCTAGAGTCAAGATTAATTCTTACTTAGAAGTTTATTTCAAAATTGCTGATTTATAATTTCAACACATTTTTTTTGAGGTGATTAATTACATTGAAATTATATATATAAATATCAAATTTTGAAGAAAGTTAATTAAAAAAAACTCTGTACATCATAACATAACATGCTTTTTAAGGACAGATGATACAAACAAATTTTTTCTTTGAAAAAGATTAAATATCATATCACAAGTTTAGAATAGTGGATAATTCTTATAATTTTTTTTCTCCGAAGAACTGGAATATTAAAAAGGATTGGTAAATATTAGTAATATTTCAATGAAAACACAAATATAGACAAATCACATTCAGTAAAGGTTTACAGGTGAAAATAAATTATAGAATATGTTTTCATGGCGCTAAAAGTGTAAAATAAACTTAAGAAAAATATACCGAGCAAGGTGAATTTTATTAGGAAAAGCTAAATGGTTAAAATCAGCCAATGTGATATTGCCATTTTTTTTGTAATTTCGATCTTTCTCTTAAAATTCACCTGGCTTGGTATATTTTTCTAAGGTTTATATTACACTTTTAACGCCAGGATAACATATTCTGAAATTTATTTTCACCTGTAAACCTTTACTGAATGTGATTTCTTTATATCCGTTTTTTCATTGAAATATTACTAATATTTCCCAAGTCTTTTTCATATTCTAGGAGAAAAAATTCTAAGAACCATCCACATTTCTAGACTTGTGACATGATTTAAAATCTTTTTCAAAGAAAACATTTGTTTGTATCAGCACATTTTTCATTGTTATCTTTTGCATTTTCAAAATAAATGTTTATGACAATTCAATAAAATCGATACTTAAACAACAGTGAAATATAGAATGCGTAACAGTGAGCCAATCACTTTTCAGACATTGATAAGGTACGATATATATATTTGGCTGTTGAAAGACGATTTAGCAGAATTTCACAGATTCACAAGAACGCAGTTATTTTCTTATAAAAGGAAAAAAAGAAATGACCAATCAGTGGGTTTTCTCTTTAATCATTGGCTTTATAGCTTTATCCAAGGCTACCGATACTTTGAAAGAATTTACCGCGAAACTTGAATTTCATGATAAGAAATCAAATTATGGGCTTTTAGGAGAACATAATTCACATACAATAGCCAGGTGTGCCATGATGTGTAAAAAGGATTGCGTCTTCTTTGGATTCAACAGTCTAATGAAGAAATGCCGTACCCATAAGAAAATATTAAAGTCTGAGCTCTCTGATGAGGCCGGTTGGAGATACTACTCGGATAACGGTATGTATATTTGGGTTTTTTTTAATTCTCTTAGCTTCTTTGATTTTTTAGGTCCTTCTCGACGGGACACGATCTTTTTTTTTATCAAGTTTCTTGTATTTTTTTTTTTTTTAGATTTTTCTAGCATGCCCAAAGATTGCAAGGATCTTCGAGAAAATGGACAAAACATCACAGGGGTGTATGATATATACCCCTACAGAACATTAACCATTCCAATAAGTGTGTACTGCGACATGACCACGATGGGCGGTGGATGGACGGTAGGTTATTTATTTTAGAAATACAAGTACTTAATATAACACACCTTGTTTTGATGGTTTTAAGGATTGTAGGATTGTATTGTAGTTTATATCATAAAAAATGGATCCTACGAATGTTCGAAGCAATAAATTGAAATGTAATGTATGCTAATTTTTACAGGCAATTCAGAAACGCGTAGACGGATCCGTGAGATTTAACAGGACCTGGACGGAATATAAAAATGGCTTTGGTTCTCCAGCACAGAACGTCTGGATTGGTAAGTGTAAATCGGTTTCAAATAAGAACTGTTTATTCATTCAAAGTTTTAAGATAAAAAAAAGAAAATTCTTATGGCAAGTAAAAAAATTATAATACGTAATAAATGCCTAATGAAGATCTAAAGTTAAGACCAGGTAATATGTGTTCTATGATATTCAGATATCGTGTTTATTTGATATTTCAAATAATAAAAAAAATAGAAAAGAAGAATATCATTTAGCGGCATATTCTAATGAGACAAAATTTAGCAATATTGTCTACAGCTATGGGAAATAATCTGATTTTTCATTACCGTAGATTCATATAGATTTAAAAAGAATTAATTGTATTCGATGAACTTTTCAGATGATTTCAAATATATCTTAATACAGGAAATGACGTAATCCATAAATTAACAAAAGAAAACACCTCATCCCTGTATGTGTCCATCACTCTCCAGAATGGTACAACGCTGTATGAAATGTACGACCGATTCTCTGTCTCCAATGAAACAGGAAAATCTTTCTTGCAGGACCTGCCACGGGGACACTAGGTAAGTGTATTTATGTTAAGTTCTTAAAATTGGGTTCAAATCACGTACATGTATATTATCAATAAGTATTCTTTTCTGTATTGAAAGATTATAAAGTTCTTGAAAAAAAGAAAGATGTGTTCTTTTCTTATATTATGTATACTTTTTTGATTCCACGCTAAATAAACATGTTTAATATTTCAAATTATTATATTTTCATGTTAAATACTAAAATCTGATTGATTTAGACGCAGTTAACAATCTGTTCGATTACCCTGAGCCTTAGCAACACACGTGCCAACGGGTAACACAACGCTAATGCCACATCCGTGGAAATTATGCGCGTACGGTTCACCGTAGAATTTTCAAAACGTCAGTTGCGCCTTTGAAAGAACCGGAATTAACTTGACGTCAATAAAAGCTTGCGTCCGATATAGCTTACTTAAAAACAACAAACGACAGACGATACATGCTTTTGAGTGTAGGAAACATGCTTTTTTTATATGATAAATGACTCTAATTCGAGTATCAAACAAACAATAAGGAGATTAGTTAACCGGTAAGTGTGAAAGCTTTCTATATATGAACGTAAAGACGATCGACGTTTTTTTGGCTGACGTCCTAAATCAATAAGATATTCAGTATAATAAAATAAATGGTGCCTTTTTTGAAGGGTAACATTTGAAATTGAGATCCCTCAGAAAACCATTGTCAACCTCCGCTGACCTCCGTTGACAATGGTTTTCCTTGGGGTCTCAATTTCAAATGTTACCCTACAAAACAGGCACCATTTATATAATATCATTTGCAGATACAATTCACATATTCAGCAGATATCGAATTTGTTATTGTCAAGTAGATTAAATTTCTAATTATACATCTTATGTACAAGGAAAAATTATGCTAATTTTTTTAAACAAACAAATCTAATAATTACATGTGTTCAACATTGTTATTCAGCTTGGGTTTCTTGATAATTTTTTTATAATTCACATTTTAACTGATACGGAAAAATTTACAGCGCATGTTAGTCTGATTTTCAATGATCCACATCTTTTACTACTACTGAATAAGAAGTTTACAGTGCGTCATTAATCTTAAATGTCGAAAGGTTTACGAAAATTCGATGATAAAAAGATTTTGATCGGTTAAATATTCAAATAAAAAAGCTTAAAAAGCCAAATTCAAAAGACCTCAACGCGTTTCACATTTACATTTATTAAATAGGAAATCTACCATCTTAAAAGATTCACAGATACACCATATACTATATCGTTATTAATGATTTAATTAATATTGCATGTTATACATGTTTAAAGGCACGGTCTCGGACAAATATTAAAATTTCATTTTTTCATATTTTCTAAAATTTCAAGTGACCTTTAAACCCCCCCCCCAATAATACCATGCTTAAAAAGTGTAACACGTCTGTTGTTTATTGTTACACTAGAAGGGATGCTATGTGAATTGTGTAGTGTTTTGTTGTCTTGTATTATTTTTATCTCTCTTTACAGGAATCAACACGTTAAACTGTGTATCTCAGACGTACTTCAGTATTAAGATTAATTTGATGTAAATTAATAATTATTATCTCTGTTATATATTTTCCCTTATTCTGCAGATGCCAGTATGATAGACATATGGGATTCTAGGACTAAACTAAATAAATATTATCGCTCTTTTCGGCATCTAAAGCCGTCCATCTTAGAAGTACCTCATTATTATTATTGACAATTAGATTAAAAATATATAAATCAATTAACTTTGTGATTCTTTTTGTTTGATTTTACAGGGGACAGTATGTTAAATACAGGTTTATTTTACCACGATCTGTCTGGGATGTTCTTCTCCACCCAGACAGAGATCACTACGAGTATAGTGGATATAAATCTACTGATCTATTTTAAACAAGTGTCCATGTATATTTTTCTTTTTTAATTCTACAGGAGACAGTATGTTAGACACTGGTTCTTATTGGGTCGATGTACTTCAGTACCCCAGACAGAGATAACGACAGGTCTAGTGGAGGTAACTGTGCTGCTTTCAGTTACTCTAGAGGAGGCTGGTGGTTCAACTGGTGTCACCGGGCCTTCCTGAACGGTCCCTGGTCCCCGGAGTCCTGGACCTTACCATGGTATCCTACAGTATGGAGTGGGACATCAGTGAAGGGGACCACCATGATGATCAGACGTCACTAGGTAAACATCATTACGTCTTAATATCCATTTTTTTTTTCTTTTTGTATTACTCTGAAAATTTCAGTAATAAAAGTAGATTTTAATAAGAAAAAATATGCTATCATACATTTATCTGTGAAGTATTAATTTAATTTTATTTTTTTAATAGACGAAAGATCATGCATGGATTATGGAAACCCTCAAGAGACGATTTTAAATTAATTTTTATCGCTGAGTTCTTTTTTTTAATATTTAACATCAAGTAACAAACAGTAAAAGAAGGTGGTTGAACGGCTCTGTAAAGCGATACTGGATGTATTCAGTAAAAGATGTATTTTATATGTGTTGTAATAAATTTGAAAATAGAAATATTTCGTTCTTTTTTTCTAAACACTGATAAATGGAGATAACTGGACGGAGAATTAGGATGAAGATTACTTTATTGTTAAACCTATTACAGTGGAACCTGTCTAATCCGACACAAGCAATACTCTTTACTGTGATTTCAGCCATTTAATTTCATTATCATTTATACTTATCTCAATTATCTTTACACGCTGCAATACTACATCTTGTTTATTCCAACACATATATTTTTAATCTGTTCCCCGTGCATGTCGGATAAAACAAGTTTCATTGTAATAAAGATGTTAAGATATATATATTTTTTTAAATCGACTGTAATTTTTTATTGTGTGTTTTTTTTTTAATTTCAAAACACTCTTACACAGATCGGGGATTAAAAGGTTACATTTGTAATACGAGTTTTATTTTGACGTCACAAATCTTAAAAGCAAAATTTGAGATCATTTAAATTCATTATTTAGGCTAGGGAATATTCAAGTAAATTAGAAAAAAAAAATCAAATTTGCAAAACAAGACAAGGAGTTAGAAAAAAAAATGAGCACCGATTCATTACTTTTTGAAAGATGTTATCTTATATTTACAACTGCTTTTGCTATTTGCAAAAGCAAGCTAACATTAATCAATATGCTTGCTAAAACTTTTGTAATTATGAGACTACATCTTTAAAAAAATGATTCAATATGTGTGACAAGTCATTCTCCTTTATGCAATGTGTAAAGGATGCTTTATATACTAGTATATCCAAAAAATTTGATAGACTACCACTTGAAATTTGCTATTCAATCAATAGAAAAAGTTTTAGGAGCTAATGAAAAAAATTCAAGATAAGTTTGTGAAACAAAGGGGCTTATGATAAATGTTGACGTTTGCAGGTCACCAAGGTTAATATAAAAGAAGTTTTGGTACCAAAAAAAAACGTTCCTCACAATGAGTCTACCTTCTGAAATAAAACCCGTAAAAGCAGCAACAGTTCAGTAATTATGACCAAAGTTAGAGATTTTCAAAAGTAGGTCAAACTGGACAAGGTCAAGGAGTCAATATTAATGATACCCGAAAGAATTTCAGAAAGAATACACAGGGGAAATATTAAAGTCACGAAATCAACCATTCAAAAGTTATTACCAAAGTTTTTCAAAAGAGGTAAAAGGCTGATGTCCAAATCAAAGGATAAAGAATAAAAAGAAAATATTGGTATTCAAGAGAATCTCTTACCACAAGAAATGTAACCGTTTACGTAAAATAGGTCAAATCCATAAGGGTTAAAGGTCATTACTGGTTGTACTCAAGAGAAGGTCTTATCAAAATATAAGCACTTTAACTGTGTAGATAAATTGATTTATATTGTTTAACGCAGATTAAAATTTTGAAAAAAAAATAACATAACAAAGTCAGAAAACTTTTACCCTAGGAAAAGTTTTTACACGTTGAATACACCGTGAAATATTAAAGCCAAGTTAATATATTTGCCCCTTAATTCCAAATTTTCAAAATAAAGAAAAAAAACTGTGATATATGAAATTCATAGCTAACAAACCAATTAAAGGCTTTCGTCAGGGCTAAATTTACTTACAAAAAAAAAATAACAAACAAACAGACAACTGGACTTTATATTTGCCCCTAAAATGTAGAAATTTAAAAAACAACGCTTTGTGCTAAAATGTTTGTATGGTGAGGGGAGATCCCAGTCAGTTTCCTTGGGAACGAAACAATATAATGCGCTGTCTGTCTTTGTGTAAATGCTATTCATAGTTTATTTAAAACATGAGGATAAATCTAGATCTCTTCCGAGGAGACGAATATGCAATCCGAGGATGAAGCTAGATCTCTTCCGAGGAGAGGAATACACGATCCGAGGATAAATCTAGATGACTTTCGATGCAGGGATGTGGTAATCGTAATCACTAATCGTAATCAGCTGTAATCGATTACAGTTTGCCAAGTAATCATGAGTAATCAGTAATCATCCATTTTTCTGATTACAATTAATCGTAATTTAATCGATTACTGTGAAAAAAAGTCCTGTAATCATAATTATTTTTGATTACTTTGTGATTACAATTATTAAAACTAAGTTAATAAACTCATGATTTTAATGATATTCAGTGTTTTTTTTTTTCAGAGTACAAATTTGTTAATAAGCAAATGCTATTATAAGATTATAAGTCATATATTTAGTTAGATATCTTCTTCTTATTCTCTCAGAAATGATTATATCCAGGTCCATTGTCCAGGCAATGAGTAAATTCTTTCATTTCTTAGCTATATTAATTAGTCGTTTAAAAAAACTTTAGCAGCTAAGCAATTTGCCATATTTGACTAGATACATGTATATACTGAAGAAAGTTTCAATCTACATGATCATTGTAAAGTTATTGTTTTCTAAAAATCAGTTTGTTTGATTTACAATGTACATAAAAAGATAATTTGAATTAATTAGTAATAAAACACAGGCTGACTTAAATTAGGTCAACAACAATTATTGAACTATCCATACTTGTCCAGTCAATCTGTTAATTGTAGTAAAAACATCTAATAATTGGCAGCTTAATTGAAAAGTTCATAACTAATTAAGAAGGCCAATTACTTCAATAACTATCATTATGTCCAGTTTGATTTATAAATAGAAATATTTTTTTTTCTATTTCACTCAACCATAAAACAAGATATTTATTTGTATTAAAGATAGAAATAAAATGATATAATATAAATCTCATGCATGTATATAAAATAAATACATATATCACCAGACTTTGTCTGAATTTTACGTTAAAAATGTTAATGATATTTAAAGAAAGAAGAATAAAAACATGCTGTTGTCCTTGAACATTAAAAAAATCTTAATGTAATCTAAAGTAATCATAAGTAATCATTATTACATGAAGGAAAAGTAATCAGATATAATTGATTACTTTTAAAAATGTCTGTAATCAGCTTGTAATCGATTACTTTTAAGATCCAAAGTAATTGTAATTTAATCGATTACTTTTGAAAGTAATCGACCCCATCCCTGTTCCGAGGAGACGAATATACGATCCGACGTTAACTTTAGAATACTCCATTTAATGATTTAGAACTTTATACACCATGCTTAATGAAATAATATAGCAAAAGATAATGACTGCAAATGTTTATTTTAATTAAAAGAGAATAAATCATTATGTAACAGAACACTCTTCATGCTCCAAATAAAATGGAGAATCCTCACAAATAAAGGGGAGTTTTAGTCCGTCTTCTCCTGTATAGAACGTGTAGTTTCTCTCAGTCACCCAGCGCCATCTGCCGTCGTTATGATAAGTCAAAAGGAGGCCAAAGATTGGGTCAACTGCTGTCTCGCCCTCATCGTTAGGATTCCAGTTCTGATACGTCACTGGTGTCCAATTATCAAAAATGAGTCTTTCATTGTAGTCAAATGTCAAAACATTGGCACGAAATGCAAATGAACCGTTGAGATCAACTTCTGCAGAAAAGGACAAGAAAAAAATTATATCATCTTCAAAATTGAAACACCACCGATACAATATGAGTTATTGCTTTACATCCTGCATGCTCTAAAAATTATAAAATTTGATCCGCTGTATCCAAATTCAGTAGACATTTAAAGGGAAAGTATTCTCATTTTTGGTATGTGTAACAATAGAATATTTTCTAACGAGCATAAGCAAACCTAAGCCAAACTTCATTTCAATTTGAATAACAAAGGAATATAATGTTTATGGGTGAAAATAGAAATAAACAATTTTGATAAACTGCAGAAATATATTTTCCAGATTTAATGTGCAGTTTTTTTTATCTAAATTTTAAAATCAGATTTGTAGAAAGCAAAACAAAATCTAAATACCTTTTTATCAAAGGTGTTTAAATATAATCTACATAATATTTGATAACGAGTATCTATTTTTTAATCAATTGCATTGTAGAGAAATTTGACAAAAATATTTTTGTTATTGTATGCATTTGATAAATATGAAAGCATGTTATGAATAAATTGTTTACGTATATACCCAGGTGTATGGGGTTTACGTCTTAAATCCTCCCAAGAAACAACAGCATGCAATAAAAAGATGTGTTTGTAAAACACTGATGCCCCCGTATGGCAACATAGCGAAGGTTAAGGTTTCTCAAATGCAGATCAAATATGTTGGTACATAAGCTAAGGTCTTTCCAAAAAAAAAATACAAATATGACTTAGAAAACCCTAGCACCACCTGTTCAAAGGTTACGGCCAAGGTAAGCGTTTTTAAAGGTAGGACAAACTCCGATTTGTTTGTAAAAAGTAGGTCAAAAACCAAGGTCAAAGTCAAAGTGGTAAAAGTGTTGATATCAAATGAAAGGTCTTCTAACAATGACTACATAAGTGAAGTTTGAAAGACCTAAACCTTACAATTCATAAGTTATGGCCAGTTAAAGTTTTCTTGTAAATGCGTAATGTCTAAGGTCAAAATGTTTAAATTGTTGGTTTCAATAGAAAGCTCTTGTCACAAATACTTGATATTTGATGTGTATTCATACCGTAAAGTGGCAAATTTAGATGTATTGGGCTTTGAAAAAAATAAACTTATCAGTTAATTCCTAGATCAAGCTAGATGGTCATTTTTTTCTACATTTCACAATTTGGTGACTCTTACACCTTCCATCTTCTTGAATTAAAAAGAAATCTCTAGGGCAAAAGTACAAAAAATATGGAAAGATGTAATTATCTGGGTTTTTCGAACATTTTCCCAAAGGGTTCAATTATAAAATTTGACAACATTTGAGATGAACCCGATTGAAATCGGGACGGTAAACATTTGATTTTTTTAGTCTTAAAACAATAAATATAACAATAAACAATTTTCAAAATCCCTAGGGAAGAAATAATTAGACTCAATCTCGTGAAAATATGATATATTTCGCATCTGTAAAATGTACGGTGAAAAAATCTAAACAATGCAATTTTCATTTTGCATTACATACCTTTGCATTAGAAATGTGTTGATATTTATACCCCCCGCTTGAAA